CTGCTGATGGACTGAGGGCGGGCGGGGTCTCAGCAGGGGCACTCAATGGCCGAGGGACAGTGCGCGTGACTCGGTGGCGTCAGGAGCCCCGAGCGTCCGTTTCAAGCAGAAGGAAGAGCCTGTCTCAGGGGAGAGCAGCGGCCACCCCTCCCCAGTACCCAGTGTAGGTCACAATAATTTAAGACACTATAGACATCTCAACACTATATAACAATATAAGTTAACCAGGTGCCTTGGCAGAGGACATTGGGCCTGTGGACTCAGGGTGTCCTGGGACCCGAGGAGTGGGGTGGGGGGCATTCACGTTGGCCTGGAGGCTCCCAGGACAGCAGCTAATGGAGTGTCCTGGCATCACTGGGGGCACGCAGGGTGGACGCCAGGGCCCAGACAGTGTCACTCGCCCCAGGCTCATGTCCAGCCCGCTTGGCCGGTCAGCCACCTGAGGACACATTTCGATGGGTGTCTGGGAGAAAACACCCTAAATTTGGGGTGGGGATATGTGGGCAGTAGAGGGTGCACCAGAAGTCACCGCACACCACGTTTCCTGGCAAGTCACCTCCTCTGCCTTGGTCTCCCCAGGAGGGGTGGGGGGTTTGCAGAGGACACAGCCAGGCCCAAGTCCCGGGTTTCCTTTCTCTCCCCATCCCACACATGGTTTAGAACTGAGCCGGACCCCCTCCCGTTCCTGTCTCCCAGGTTTCAGGGTGAGCTGGACTTCAAGGGAGGTTGTGGGCACCCTGGGGAGGTGTCTGGTGGGGCCCTGGCACAATGACACCCTGCATCCAAGTTTTCTCCACATCGAGGTCAGGGCGAAAGGGCCAGATGTGCAAGAAGGCTACTGACAAACCCTCGAAGGCACCTCTGGAGGGGGGGGGAGTGCAGGCCCCAGTGATTTCTCAAGGCATGGGGGCCACCTCACACTAACCTGGGTGTCCCCACAGCTTGTCTTCTGAGGCCAGGAGCCATGGGCTGGGGGTCAGGACACCCAAGCCAAGGCAGGAACCTCCACTCAGGTCTTGGGGCCTCTGGCTAGTGCTCCATTTTGGGCCTCAGTGTCCCCATCTGTCAAATGAGGCAAACACCCTGAACGACTCTCAGCCGCCCCCACCCCCCC